ACTTCGTGAACCCGCTGTACTCCAAGTACAAGGCGGCGGCGGCGGCCGAGGCCGTCCACCCCACCTACTACGACTGTCCCTTCGCGCCCGAGCTCGGCGGCCGCCACCACGCCGCCGCCCTGCAGCTCTATGGCAACGGCGCCGCCGGCTTCCCGCACGCGCCCCCGCAGGCGCACGCGCGCCCGCACCCGGCCTGCGGCGGCGGAGGGGGCGGCCCGGGCCCCGGCCAGGACTACTTCCACGCCGGCCCGGGCAGCCCGGCCGCTGCCTACCAGGCCGCCCCACCTCCTCCTCCGCACCCTCCGCCTCCGCCGCCGCCGCCGCCTCCCCCCTGCGGCGGGATTGCCTGTCACGGGGAGCCCGCGAAGTTTTACGGATACGATAACTTACAGAGACAGCCGATTTTTACGACCCAGCAAGAGGCCGAGCTGGTACAATATCCTGACTGTAAATCGTCCAGTGGTAATATTGGCGAGGACCCAGACCACTTAAATCAGAGCTCGTCTTCTCAAATGTTTCCCTGGATGAGACCACAAGGTTGGGATGCGCCTTTTTTTTTTTTTTAAAAGGAGGGGAGAAAGGGAGAAATCTGCTTTCATCTCACGTTCTAGCCTTAAAACTCCCCTGTCCTTTCCCTCTCCCCCTCCTTTTCCTTCTTGTGTAGCCACCGTGGCTGTCGTACATAAACTAACACAGACTTTTAAAAAGTATGTGAAACGATGGGGACAGAATAATTGTGAAGCCCTGTGTCTGCTTCTCTTGCCCGCACGCCCCGTGTCTGTATCAGAATTAAAGGCCACTGTTCATTTCCCCTCTTCAGCCCGGTCCAGAAATCTCCAGCAGTATCCAGACACAGCAACCTTTTTTTTTTTTTTTTTTTTTTTAAACGTTGATTTTCCTCCCCTTTTTGTTGTTGTTGTTGTTTTAATCAGCAGCTCCTGGTAGACGGAGAGGAAGACAAACCTACAGTCGCTTCCAAACCCTAGAGTTGGAAAAGGAATTCCTTTTTAACCCTTATCTGACCAGGAAGAGAAGAATCGAGGTCTCCCACACCCTGGCCCTCACGGAGAGACAGGTAAAAATCTGGTTCCAGAACAGGAGAATGAAGTGGAAGAAGGAGAACAACAAAGACAAGTTTCCCGTGTCCAGGCCGGAGGCAAAGGACGGAGAACCCAGACAGGAGGCCCAGCAGCTGGAGGAAGACAGAGCCGAAGGCCCGGCAAATTCACTTCCACCCTGAAATTTTGACCGGGAGACTATGGAGACGAAGGATCAGAGTGTACCTGTGACCAGCACCTTTTCTCACCCCTCCCCCTTCTTTTCTGGAAAGAACTTCACCTGTGTCTCAAGCTACCTACCTTAATGTCACTGCTCTTGAGGTTTCTGCGCTTTGAAAGGGATTTGGGTGTTTTTAAAAAATAAGTTTGTAGTTTCGCATAATGCCAGTCCTTGAGCTGTCGTATAGAAGGGTAATTTGATACCGACCTTGTAGCTCTATTTTTATAATGGTAGTTTTTAACGTCCGAGCTGGTGATTTGCCTCAACAACGTAAACTTCCTAATGATCAGCACTCAATGATTGAATATAAAATGCTTTATTAATCAAACAAGTGCACTTGAACATTTTAAATCTTTATGGTGAGTAAATTAAAAGAGGTCTATTAATAATTTTTTAAAAATTATGCCTGCAGAATATTTACTTTATTATTTGATTAAATGTATTATTTATATTTTTCTCTCTGCTTCTGTAACAATGGTTCAGGTGTCTTTTGGTTTCCTTCCAGAAGGCTTCTTTGAGCATTTTGTAAATGTCTGTCAGGGAAGAGTCTGGGCCAAATGTTGGAAGAGCACAGTAGCTGAAGAGTGCAATGTATTCTCTGGGCTCTTGGCTTCCTTAAACTTGGGAGAGTGCTGTGCCAGGGGCAGGAGTTTAAGGGTAATGTCAAAATCGACACTTAGTCGTGTTTCTGTAGTCCATACACATTATGGCAATTGGATAATCTGGAGAATTAATACTTGAAAACTAATTGCAACATTTCCACTAACTGTTCTCTCTGGAAGTGGCCTTGCTTTCATTTTGAACCCCAATTGCCTGGGATTTCTAGGTCGCTATGCTCTGTGTTTCTGCCTTTTCTAGTAGGTGCCATATTTATTGTATTCTCTTTGCACTGCCTGCATGCTCCTTTTACGCCAGCTTGCTGTGTTCATCTCAGATGTCGGTTGGTACGTCGGTTGGTACGTCCATCCTCTGCTGTTCTTCAGGAAAGCCTTGGCCTCACCTCTTTGGAAGGAGTCCTGAGTGTAAATGCGGAAACTCCTCTGAGTGTAAACAACAGCCCCAGAGCATAGCTCCTTAATAAAGAAATGTACCTCCTTAAAGAGCAGAGCTGATGTTTCTGAGCGCGGAAAATGCCGTTCTTCGTCCTTCCCAGTCACAAACAATGACCAGAGCTCACTGAGGGCAGTGACTTGCTGCTTGAGAAGCGGGTGTGGGTCGGAAACACCCTAAGCTGTTTCATGATAGTAATGCGGGTAACAAGAGGCGGTCTGGGGCCCCTTCTAGAGGGAGCTGACCGCCCACACCTCTTTCATTAAAGAATTCTGGCATGATACTGTGACAACTTTGAACTTCAAAAGGATTCAAGTCAAGTCGTAGGCCTGACGGCCCAGAGTCCAGCTTAATTCCATACAGTCCGAGTTGAAGCTGCTGCGACTTTGCATCTGTTATTAACAGAATATCCATTTCCACCGGGGGCTGCTCATGCAGCTGCCTCTTTTTCAGGAGTGGAGGGAGGGAAGAGGAGGAGAAATTCACATGAAGTATAATTTCTTATGAAAAAAAAAAATGGAAACACATTAAAGTAGACATTAAAAGTTGGCTGCTTTTTCTAGCCACCTTCACTTTTACAGATGTGGTTCTTGCTTTATTGTTAAATTCCAGAGTGCTCTATTACATCCGTAAGAAAAGAAGATTCTTTAGCTTTGGGCCAGGTTCACTGCCAGCTGGTGGCCAGTTTGTCTGCTGTCTTGTGGCTAGCAGGAGGATTGGTACTAGCTGGGTTAGAGGCCAGTCACCACCTGGCTCTCCACACAGGCAAGAGGCTGTGGCTGTGACATTTGTAAACTGAAGCCCGGAAAGACAACTTAAGTCAGGAGTGGCCAAGGCTTAAGCATTTGTACAGAGGAGACAGCTGCAATGGGCAGTGCTGGATTTGGGGACTTTTGCTCAACCAGCCGCTTCCCATGTTGGCTGGATGGAACGGAGCAAGAGCAGAGAAGCCCCAGGCTGAGAGCCTAGCAGGGGAACTGCCTTAGGCATAAGCTACCTGAAGACCAGTGCTGGCTAAACTCCAACTGCTTGTGATTTAAGGAACTCTCTAAAATTTGACATCTCTGGGGGTGGGGGTGGGGGCTGGAAAGCTGGCTCAGTGGTTAGGAGCACTTGTTGCTCTTGCAGAAGACCAGGATTCTCAGTATTCACGTGGTGGCTCACAAACCCTAATTCCAGCTCCAGGGAATCCAATGTGGGGCACTCATATACATGTTGACAAAACACCCATACTCATTAAATAGAAATAAACTTAAAGATCGCTAGCTCCCACTCGGGAATGCTCCCCCCAAATTCCGTTCTTCAAACTATAGAATCTGGCAAGATTTGATTAGAAAAAGGACCTACTAAGTGCAAGAGTGGGCATAGAAATCAAGGATTGAAAATAGGTGAAAATGCCGTGTCTTGACATTCTGGCCTCTGTACTGGAAGTGCCCCTTTGAGCCACACTGGCCCCTAAACCATGGTAAAAATCTCAGCTCCTATGCAGAATGTTGCAATAATGTTTTGAGAGTATAAATTTGTACATATACATGAAGTGCTGGCAACAGATGTAGAAATGATCTTTCCTTCTGCAGCTAGAGTCTGCAAATAAAGACCCCGAGGAATTGCCCTCCCCCATCTCTCCTCCCCCCATGACGGTGTTGAACTGTGGGCAGACCTCCCCCCTTTAATGTTGGGGTCTCGGTGAGAGGGAGAAGCTCGAAAGGTGCTTTTCTGATTGGTTCAGGCCTGTAAGCAGTGAGGCACTGTAGCAAGAAAGGAACTTTCCTTTTTGCTGCATAAATTTACATAAATCTTCAGAGAACCTTTTGCAAACCCAGGTGGAGTTTGTTTGTTTGTTTGTTTGTTTTTCCTGAAAAAATCAAGACCTCCCCCATCAATGTTAACACTGACTAAAAAAAGAAAGGCCATCTGAGCGATTGGACAATTCAAGAGCCAGAAACACAGAAAGAGGGTGTGGCTCTTGCTCCTTTTGGTGGGGGGGGGAGTCGGCTCAAGGGTATCACACACACTGCTTGCAGGTGCACAGCGTACAAAGTGCAACATGGCTGCCTCTTCCAGGAAGCCTCTTCCCACCCCTCATTCCCCGAGCTGAAAACCCAGGCGGTGAGCTCTGCTTTTATTTGGGTAGGGGAGATGATACCGAGGCATTTCGAGATTCGTTTTTAGAATGTTTTGGAATTGAGCCTCTTCACCCAGTTCCATGGGTACAGAGCAGTGTAAAATGCTCTGAAGCAGGGAATGAACACCAGCTTGCCCATTGACTTGTGTCATAACATGTTGTTTAATTCGCTGCATAAGAATTCACATCCAGCGTCTGCCCTCCTTATCTTTGATGTCTGCTGAATCCTTGGATATCTAGAGGTGGGAAAGGGGAAGACAGAAAACATTTTAATGGACTAGCAAAAATTAGGGCCCACTGGCCTTTTCAAGAAATAAGAATTTTGCTAACAGATGGTGGCAGAAGCCCTTTAATTAAAATTATCCAAGGTCATCAGAACTTTCTCTTGGGATACAAATGGCCTACACAAAGGCATGCTCTGCACTTCCTACTCAGAGAAGCTCACTTCCGCTAGTCGTTGATAGGATGTAAAGACGTTTCTGGCAGGGAGCTTGAACATCCATGCAGATACCGAGAAGCATCTTGCTAGAATGCTCTGAAAAGGCTGAGCAGGGTAGCGACCCCTTTCAGGGAGGCACTTGAAACAGGCTGGCAGTGCCCATGAGGGAACCTGGAGGCCAGCCAGAACATTGACTCTCAGGGGCTCACCAGAAAGGTTCACTGACAATGCAAAGGAAACATGACTCCTTTGAGAAAAAAGAAATTTTCCCCTATATTGTTCTTTTCAAGAATAGATAAAGCTCCTTTCCTTTCCAGAGCTGAACTCAACACTTTTCAATGGTCCTACATCGGGGCAGGAGCGGGGATGGTCCAAAGAAAGGCACAGAGGACTGGAATTAAATTCTACAAGAAGCAATAATTGATCTTAGGACCTTAAGTGAGGGATTGGGGATGGTGTTCGTCCTTGTGGCGATAGATTAAAAACCAACCGTGGTTCCTCGAAATGATATTCCTGCAAGGCAGACCATTTACACCAGCCTTTGGGGTGGGAGGTTGCTCGGTCTCTCACCACAGAAAACCGCAGGAGACGCGGGGGGGGGCACCCCCGTTCAGAGCCAAGTGGGAGATGAGAGTGTGCTCTCTTGGCTCCTCTCCCGCAGCTCAGTTTTCTGGGTGAGATACTTGGATATGGGCTTTCCTGAAAGGAGCGGGTGAGAACCGAGAGTGCTAGGCTTTCCTTCCGTTCAAGCGTTTTTGCGAGGGAGAGGAGGAGAGAGGGGAGAGGAGGAGAGAGAAGCGAGGGATGAACGTAGCGGGAGACGTGGGACTGGGGGAGGGCTCGGGGGATGACACCGCCCGCACGCCTTTTCCTCCCACACGGCGGCTAATTACACGGAGATCTCGAGCCAAACAAAACAAAAATGCCCAGTAATTCCTAGAAAAGGTGTGTTTGTCTGTGTGTGTGTGTGTGTGTGTGTGTGTGAGAGAGAGAGAGAGAGAGAGAGAGAGAGACAGACAGACAGACAGACAGAAAGAAAGAGGAAGGGAGGGAGAGAGAGAGGAGAAAGGACAGAATAGATAGAGGGAAGAGATTTCGAAGGGAAAGGAAAGAAGGGAAAAAAGAGGAGGAGGAGTAAGAAAAGAGAAGAGGGATGAGAGAAAGGAGAGGAAAAACATGGCGCTCGCGAGCTGTATGTGCAAAATCCGCAAGGAATTGCAGTAAATTCCTTTTTGTTTGAAGAAAATTTACAACTTGGTAATAGACCTTTTTATGACCTATTTGCGGTCGTCATTGGCTGCGGCTGGTCATGTGCAGGCGCCGCTCGCCTTCACGGCCCTTTTCCTGATTTCCCAGGCGAATTTGCCCCCGCATTCTGCCTTCCCGGAGCCTCACCCCCTCTTTTCCTAACCTTTGTCTCCGCAGAGGTGGGCTCCAGTCGTCGGCTGCGGGATGGCGGGCTCCGCCGCGGCCCGGGCTCCCGCCGCAGGCCGCCCGCCCCGGGTGGCGCCGGCGGGGAGCCGGGAGGGAGCCCCGGGGCTGAGCCCCCCGCTCGGCCGGCCGCGCGAGCCCCGACCCGCCGGAGGACCCCAGCCGCCGCCCGGTAAGAGCCGCCCCCCGGCGCCCCGTC